GTGGAGGCGTAGTGGTACATTCTATATATGGTAACTAGGTGGATAAATAATGGTCCGTGGGTGCTTGAGACTTGTGGTGCGGAAAAACCGTGACACAGCGGGATTGCGTGTTCCTGTTGGAAGTCATACGGACTTTATGTCCAGTGGGACACGGACTTAAACATTCCGCGCTCGTTTGCTTATGTAATCACGTAGCCACAAGCGCACTCAATCTTTTCCTGTTTCCTCAGCACTCGCATCATACATCAACTACTGGACTCCTTACATACTTTTTACTCATACACTGTAGTCACTTGTTCCTACGTGTCTTACAGGTATTTTATAAAGCACTCGCTTTATTCATTTGAGGCTGAGTCACTCTTTACTTTCGTGTCCTACAGCCCTCGTAAATTTTCACCTCGGACAATAGTTCCAACACTCCCCCTTAATCCCACCTGTACCTGGCAGGGTGATTCATCATCCCCTGCCCTCACAGCCAACAGGGTGTTATATCAATTCCCATGGCCATAGCATTATAGTATGCATCATTTCGCTCTGATTATAGCAGCTGATGATGCATCCTCTGCTTTGTACTGCAGTTCCTCATGCCGGCATCCTCCCTCACACCATGATGCATCACATGGTTCTTGCATGTGATTGATCAACCCACACACCGGCCTCCCTCCATGATTCGGTGCACCCTATTCATCATGAAGCCCACACTTCTGCCATCATTCTCGCTCTTCCTGTATCAGGGCTCTTTTCCCACCCCGGCCAGTCAGCGCCTCTGACTACTTCACAATTCGGTCTCCCCCCATCATTCCGTCCTTGCCATAACTGGAATATTTGTGTGCTTTCCTGTCCTACACTATGTGATATCACCTGTCTGATAATGTAGGTATGCCAATTTCTGCGCACTTTAGCACTTATTCGTCACCTCATTACTCTTGCTCTGGGCCAGCTTACCACCCTGACCACTCAAGTATGTACCAGAGCTCACTGTCAGTACAGTGATATCTGTATGCTTTGGCAATTACTACGGACATCGATAATCCATCATTGCATTGTCATTTCCAGTGAGTACGGTATTTGATTATTGAATTATTGCAGCATAGCAAGAATGATCGTGGTTATTCCTGCCATGTCTGCACCGTGCAGCGAGAGTGATGCATCGAGAACTTGAGCCTCAATGCATCATCCTTCTCGCAGTTATTTCTGCTGTGTCTGCGTCATGCAGCAAGAACCTGAGGCTCGATGCATCATCCTCCTCATGGTTATTTTTGCTGCGTCTGCACCATGCAGCGAGAGTGATGCATTGAGAACTTGAGCCTCGATGCATCATCCTCCTCGCAGTTATTTTTGCCACATCTGCGCTGTGCAGTGAGGATATGCATCATCCTCCTCACGGTTATTCCCGCCGCATCTGTGCCATGCAGCGAGAATGATGCATCGAGAACTTGAGCCTCAATGCATCATCCTTTTCACAGTTATTTATGCCGCACGTGCACCATGCAGTGAGGATGATGCATCATCCCCCTCACAGTTCTTCCTTCCTCCTCTGCAGCATGCAGTGGTGATGATGCTCACAACTGGTGATATGTTGTAACAATCCTGTCACAACTTGTCGATTGTCAGACAATGTACATATACATGAATATAATATACAACTGCAGAAATGTCATGTTGCGACATATCAGAGGTGCCATTTTCCTGCATCATCAGCAGTACGTACTACACCTGACTTCAGCCATTCATCAACTCACCTCCATGAATTCTTGCAGAACTTGCCCATCAACGTGCATAGCTCAGCTTGACAAAATGTTTATGCAGCCATGCCCCCACGGTATTCATCTGAGCTGGCAGGCTTTCTCCCTATGAGGCCCAGCCACCATTCAGCTTGGTAGTTGTGATACTGCACAACATGCTGCATCTCTTCTTTGAGTAACTGACACTCTTCAGACCATCGATGGGCCCGTGCCCCATGCTTTGCACCATTCGACATGCAGTGCTATAGCAGTGATCAGCACAGCACAGCACAGTGGTTCAAAATTTCTTACTTACCTTCTTAAACTCCTTGATTTTCGCTGCTGCTGTCACCAGAGCTGACACCAGAATTCTGCCAAATCCATGACAAAGTGCAGCGGTTCTTGGTCTCTGTGAACAGACCTTCAGACATACCTCTGATATCTCTGTCATCAAGCTGACACAGCTTGTGCTGCCATGTCTGATCCCCAATGACTATGCTGAAAACTTCCACCACATGGCAGGCCTTTCGATAATGCTTGGCATCTGTGTCAACTTTTCTTTGTACATTATCGATGATTCCACATGCACGCATGTTAGGGTGTTGACCATGCATGAACCTATCCTTGATGTGGTAGAGGTGACTTCATAGACGAAGATGTCACTGTAAGTTCTCTAGTGCATCGTGTGTCTGTGCCTTCCACAGACGGTATTCACAGTCCACAAGAAAAGGGTCACATCATCCTCTATCGAGGATCTCTGATGGCAGGTATAATCTTGCATGAGGCACGATGTTTGAAGTACTGTCCGAGTTTTGTGAATGCAAGACCATGACCACAGGGATATACAGCTGCTGAACCTCCGACCATGCATCGTAGCAACATTGGAGTGTATTCTGATGCTCGAGCACCTTTGCACGCTGGAGGTCAGTGGAGTGTGAGCCCAGTTCATCTGTATCTTCATGCAATTGATGCCTGTGAATATGATGTTAACAAACACACCAACGAACATGGGCAAGCTCACTGAAGCTCCTCCAGCTCCAAGCCACTCATTATCACCATGCTTGATGACATCGTATCATGAACTGTGCTGGCCTTGCCATTCTAAAGCTGCACTGCATCCTCCTCCACTAATTGAAGGTGTACACTTGCTTGCATGATAGCTTGGCGATAAATGAGCTGTCAGTATTAAGAATGTCCATTTAAGGATTTTCTGTACTCATTGCTTTGCATAATCTGGAAAGGATTTGGCTTGGATGGATCTCTCTCTCATGCAGTGATGGCCTCTGTCCACTCTGTTATGTGCTCTGTAGGAAGAGCCACAAAAAGCTCATGGAATGCAGCAACATGGGTGCTGCACTCTTCAATCGCATTCTTTATCTTGGTGAGCATCAATTCTGCTGTTCAAATGGATTAAATGATATCTATTAGAGTATCTCACCATGATGCACCCATGCGAGTAATCTTGCTCCAGTTGTAGGCACCGAAGATGTTGTCTAACAAGTCTCGACGAGAACCAGGACCCATCTTCTTGGTACTAGAAGCAAAGGGGTTGATGGCTGCCCAACCTCATTCCACAGCTTCGCCATCTATGCGTCCAACTTGTGGTGTGATATTGAATGAGTACCAAAGGTGACACGACTCTTGATGTGCGGGTAGATGAAATTTTGGAATGAGAAAGGTGATGGTGCATCCATCGAGATGGTGTTCGTATGATGTCATCTATTCTCAAAAGTGGATGAACCACTGACATGCAATGTCGTATGATACCACAATAGAGATCGGGGTATTTTGCTGTATGCTGCTCCAAAAAATATAATCCATATTCATATACCTAAGAAATACTGGTCAAACACGTGACAGGCTCTGTGATCATTTAAAAAACATACCGCTCTCCCTTCTGCAGGTCTCTGACAGAACACGGCCACTTCATGTCATGACGAGAACATTCAACTGTCCCCACCCCACTTTCTGCCATACCTTGAGAACTCTTCAAATTTGCGAGTTTCACGGCATTGTGATTGTTGCAGGTACTGCTTTTCTCCTTGATGACCTTGCCGTAAGTCTCGATATGTGCCTTATATTGCTTTTCCTGAACAAAGAAGGCGATTCCTGTATTGAGTCCTGGGTCAGCAGCATCAGACGAGATGTTCTTTCTCTTGAGCTGGAATTTCGCATCTATGCCAAGGAATAGTCGATAGAGCCACCTTTCTCAATAACTCATCATGAAAGCATGTTTGAAAAGTTAATAAACGCACAAAGTTAATGGACGCACATACTGCACTCGGGTGAAGCTTCCTTCCAATTGTCAGGGAGGTGATTGCTAGGGTGAGGGCACATCAGACATTCTACAGCACAACTGCTGGGTGTAGTCCCTGACACTCCACTAGGATCATGGCCACAGCCAAAGCGTTTGAGCATCTTGAGATGGTGCCACTGACACATCATGCACATCAGCTCAGAGTATCGATCCTGTGCTGCAACATGAGTTCAGCATGTTATACAAAATCTGGGAAGGTTGCACCTTAGGTATGTCCAGGCCCATATTATTGGTGCATCGCTCAAGCATAGAATAGAAGTGAAAACCAGACACATTCACCTGGGTTGACAGGAGGTAGAAGTGTTTGAGCAGCCGAAATGTTGTGGCAGTCTTTAGGTTGCTGCTTGTGGCAGGGAACAGCCGAGCATGCAGGAGCTGAATGTCGTGGGATTGAGCCACCTCGCAGTTGCAAAAATCTAGCCCGATGCTATGCATGCCAGATATATCCATGACTATGAAGTTATCCTCCCAGGCTCTCTCAGGATTATGACAGTGTGTGCCAAATGGATGTCTGACCTAAATATGGAGACCAGCCTCCTTGAGAGTCTTGTGTCAGAAATGTGTTTGTACCCAGACCTGCCAGCCAGCGCATCAGATTGCATGGTGGAATAGTTGTGATGTACTTACCTTCAAATGGTGATAGGGGCTCTGCTTGTGCATCATGATGATGCATTCCTAACAATATAGTGTGAGATCATCGCAGTCGATGCAACGAATCTCAGCTGTGGCAGATTGACAGCACAGACATTTCTCCTCCATATATCCACAATGACCTTCATGTTGCAATAATTCTGCAAGCCACTCATCACGATGTGATATCCATTTATGGAGAGGATGATTCTAATAGGCTACTGTCAACAGCTTGAGAGAGATTGTATTTGATACTCACACCTGCAGTACGTCATCGCTGTTTCGAGCATTCGTCCATGTCCAGAAGCTCATGAATGTAATCCACATTGATATTGGCTAGACCAGAATTGTCCCACACAGAATCTTGGATGGAGATGCTTTCCGCTTCAGGTAAGAATGATGTAGGTGTATCATCATCATTGGTCAGAGATGTACTTGTTGTGGATGCCATTGTCGCAATAAATGAAGTGCAGGCCGAAAGTCCATGATCGCAGGTGTATAAATCTATATGTGGACTGAGAGCATGAGGAGGCAGTCGAGATTGTGAGACTTGATTTTCATTGTCTGATTTATGGAGCTTTGTAACTTCCATAATATAAACCTCTTGCAACAGATCACAAGATGAGGAATTAACCTGCTGCATAGTACAACGGTAACAATGAATTAAGTAGATTAACAAATTCCTCATGTACTTCCATGTTGCAAGAGGTTTATATTATGGAAGTTACAAAGCTCCAATTGAAAGTTGCAGTCGTATTGACGGCACCACCATTTTGATGCAGACATCTCCATGAGCAGGCCTTTGATGTGGTTAAAAGCTGTTCGGGTGGTGATCATCAAAAACCAAATGTAATGATCACAAGATAAAGCAGTACGAACCTTTTATGTGCAGATGGAAACTTTTGCATGCCTTAAGGGCATGGTGTGCCTCTGTGAGCATTAAAAGGGTATTTAAATTGATAATAATACAGGGAAAAAAAAGTAAATGCACCTGATGAGACCTCCATCATTTCACATGAGCAAACATGCCAGGGGTATGTGGGCTACCTTCTCTCAGCTGCTGGAGGTGACGACTCAAAGTCACTATAAGGAATTGTTAACGCATCAAGAATGCATGTCACAGTAACACCGGACAAGAGATCAAAAAGACTAAAAAAAGGGACAGTCACGTGGAACGTGCCGCCCTGATCCCCCTGATCCCAAGGTATCCCCCTGAACCCTATGTGGCGCAAGAGCCTGTTGACTTACTGGTCGATGTGGCGAATGCAGGAAAGGGTTAGAGATATATGGAGGAGCTGGTGAGCTCAGTAGATGCTACTGGTAGTAGATGAGGAGAAACAATCTGAAGTTTCGTCCTCTACATGGCTGGTCTTATATACGCATACAGCGGGCTATCTTACCTAAGCTACCTATCTACGGGTATAAGGTAATGGCCGTAATGTGAACAATAGGATGTCCAAAAGTAGAACAATGAGTAGGGAGATCGATGGTTGCCGCAGTAATGCATGTGCACATCATGCCTATCTTGGTTTCCCTTTGTTCTCCGGTGTGAACATCGTGCCTATCTGGGCTTCTGGCTAAACTAATAGGAAGCGGAAGGC